TCGGGGAGGTTCTCTTTCTAATGCCACTCTCTATATCTCTCTATGTCTCTCTATGTCTCTCTCTCTCTCTCTCGCTGTCTCTCTCTGTGTCTTTCTCTCTCTCTCTTTCTCTCGCTTTCTCTCTCTGTCTCTCTCTTTCTCTTCATAACTTGCTCGTTTGCCCGCTCCCAGACAGACATGTACGTCTCAGACATCCTCATCTGCCTCCTACTGCGCTCTGCCTGCCTCACCAGCATTTCAATCACTGGGCCAAATGAAATTATTAAGAAGTGTTAAACGTATTAATCATTAAATTAGCTAAATGATTCCTCTCGTACAGCTACAGATGAATGACATGTCATTCTGTAATGCAATTTGCTCCTGCAGCAGGTGAAGGTCATCAGAGAGCACAGGCTATTTCACTGTGAATTTTCCTCTGAGCCGTCATTGTAGGGGTGGGCCATATTGACAACAATGAGTATCTCAACATTTTTTGCATTCTCAAGCACAATGTTAATTTGAACAGTGCATCCGGAATGTTGTAGAATATGTCTCTAAATGCCTTGGTTGACGGTCAAGTATAACATGAAATGTAAACAGAACATAAAATTAACCACAAAAGTTCAAAAATACCACTTTATGCCCTGTTTGGGAGATTACACTAGATATTTTTGCTCATTTTAGTTTTAGTCAGCTCTTTTTGCTGTAATTTGAATAGTCCATTTTCATTTATAGATAATAGCATCAATATTCTAATTATGCATATCTCAGAGCAACAATTGCGATATTATCCATTTTTGGCCATCTTCACTTATGACTCTCAAATGACTTGAATGAATTGGCACCACAGGCTTCATGCTGGAGCAACAGTGTTATCTTGTTTGTATGTGTGTCATTGTTAGTGTAACCTGACATTAGCCAATGGTCATTCAGGACCCCAGAATGTTCAATGTTGAATCTTTTAAAGGTCAAACAGAGAAACACTAACATTAACATATTTACATTTGATTATCTAAGTAAGTCTTCTAGCCCATGCAAGTAAAACCCCACTGAGGTTCAATTACAATTCATTTGGTGTCATTTCCGTTTTGATAAAGACCAACAAGTTCTTTCGTTTTGTGCTTATCTTGATTCTTGACAAGCAGACTTTTGGTAAAACAAAACTCCCACTTAACAAACAAGTGTGTTTATCTGATCCCTAAAACAGAACTACTCTGTATTGAATTATATTTAAATTATTTTTTGTGACACATTAAATCATGCCCTTCACATCAGCTCCTCTTATAAGAGCCAGTGATGGGTATGCTTGCGTTACATTACATTTTGCCTAGATATCACTGGAAGAGCCTGGCCTGACAGAAACTTGCCTTCAAACCTACAAAGCTAAAAAATCCCCCAGAACTGCACCCCCAGTCTAGGGTACCTCATGTGGAAAAAAAAGGCTTGTAAAAATTACAGGAATGGCAAAAGGTCCCTGCAGTGCAATAATGCCTTATGGCTGACCAGCTTCAACCTAAATTAATCTGTAGAAGTGCTAAGCATTCTGTCACATGTGTATATTTGGATATTTAATATAAACTATCCTCAAAGGTTGTTTTTTCTTACCATAACATTTGTGATCTATCTGCATAGAACTATTAACCTGGTCATTGTATGTCATCATCACTTGGTATATACACATTGATTCATACATACTTGATATAGTACTGTAGTATTAGTTATTTTACTTTAAAGCTTATTATTGTCTTTTCAGACATTCACCTATTCACATATAGAATCTTTATGCCACCCTTCCAGAGCCATTCAGACACTCGTACCGAACAATCTGTGAAGTTACTTTACAGAATTTTACACAAGGCTAACAAAGCATACCTCTATAGTCTTACAATTACTGCCAGAGTTAAGGTCAATGCTGTGGATGAGCAGGCTTGGCAGACAGGGGACGCACAAGGTCGGCTAAAATAAAGATTTCACTAGTAGATTTCACATATCCACCACAGACGTCCTATGACAGTCCAGAACCTTGACATAACCACTTACATATCACTGATACAGGTCAGTAAAAAAAAAAAAGAAAGTTAATTAATAAGATTAACTGCACATAATAAGGGTAGCACTATGGACCCTATATGACATGTACATGGGTGTGCATCAATATGTCCAAGTGTACATGGCCGTGACTAATGAGGCTCATCGGCGGACTTCAAATTACCTCCTTCATTTGGTCCATATTTGCATACATTCTCTATGCAGCAGAACACTGAATCAATGACACGAGACTTAGCTTGTGTTTACCTCACCATGCAAACAAGACTGCCATTATAACAAATGAGTATCTCACTAAATCAATGAAATCTCTTATTAATTCAAGTATGATTATATTATTAGTCTGTGATCAATATGGAGCTGATTTCAGTACAAACAAGGGGATTAGAGTGTGCATGGTCAGACAAGTGACCAGATGGCCTTTGCAACCTTGACCACGATTGCATCAATATATCATTGAGCAGAACAGAGGTTGTGGGAAAATATGGAGTTTTAATAAACAAATCAAACCTTTATTTTTATATTTTGTTCATTGACTATCAAAACTGCAGAATGGAGAGGCTCCACAAGCTCATATTGTTATTTTACTGTAGCAAGCAGCAGATTTTCATTTACTTGTTTTTATTGTAGAAACATGGCTACTTGACATTTTTTAACCCTACATGTATGACCGGGAGTCTGAACTTTTTGGAGTACAGAGTAGTGGGGGAGGATTTTCAGAGCACTCAGACTTCAAATACAAGACAATACAGGGTTGCTTAAACAGGTATGAATCAAAAACAACCTGAGGAAGTTAGAGAGTAGGTAACACTGTTACCTGAAATAAATAATATTATTGGTCTGTCATTGTTAAAATAGTTAGGTTATTTGGCTCAGTCTGTATTCAAATGGTAAATCACTACTTATCTGCTCCACAACAGCATCTTCAGTACGTTAGTATGTGGCAGTTGGTGTGAAAGACGGCAAACAAACGTGCGTGTTGGTTGCCAGATATTGCACAATAGGTAAATACAAAACCGCCTCTCTGAAAAGTGCCTGTTGTGTCGGCTCGGCTTTTGTTTCGTTTGGTCTCATTTGTGATGGGATTTATCTCTGTAACATACAAAACCCTGGCTCTTGTTTGAAAGCAGAATCATTTACAATCCTTACTTAAAGTAAATGTGTATTTTAGCATCACAATGAATCCCCACAATAGCATATATATTTCTCTTTTTCTAGTGCAACAAATGAACAGAAATGCATGCATATTATTCTTATGAAAATGTGCCTCTGACATAATTGTCTCTGGATTCACTTTCCTATTATAGATAATGAGAGGGTGCTGATAAGTTCATGCTTTCTCAATAGCTCATTCACATCACTCTGTATGAGGACTGTTGGTGTGGGTTTTTATCACTTATTTAGAATTTTGCACATTTGCAAAGACTGCAAACACTCAGCCATTTAGATGATCGCCATCTATAAATGAGAGTCTATATCATTGCTGTTTCTCAGAATGAAATAATGCAGAGATCCATTTTATAGCTAAAATTAATGCAAATTATGATATGTTACCTATGTACGTCTCTCACAACCCTGTAGAAGTATATTTATGTATCAAAAAGAGAGTGAGAGATTACACAGATATCTAAGGAAGAAATTTTCCAATGAAATTAAGTTTTATAAAGAAAGAACATTTAGGATTGTACTTTTGAGCATCAGAACTTACACTGACTGCTAATGAGAAGCAAATGGACACCACTGTTCGGAAGCGTGTGCCCTACATCTCCCCACTTCTATGACTTGCTTTAATAAATTACTGTCCAATAAGAACTTTTATGATCTTGGCATATGTTGCCTTTTATAGGTGAAAATAATTGCATTCCCAGATCACCCCGGTTGGTTCCTTCTTGAACATGAGAATGAGCCTACCGAAGCCTACAAAATGAGATAGTTTCACAGTGTCTGCACAAGTCCTTCTCATTTGGGTCGTTACACAGCCCCTCCCCCACAACCAGCCCTCTCCTCCCTCTTTCTCTATTTCCTGGCATACCTCAGAGGCCCCTCCCCTGTGCTGGCCCCTCTGCATGCCAAAGCCACAGCTCCTCCCCGTGCAGTGTGCACAGCGCACCGTGCACATGCCCTCCACACACACACAGGCTCTGTGTTGTTGTGAGCTGCCACTGAAGTGTGACAGAAGCCACTTGACAGGTGACACACACACACTTGATGTTATCGGGTCAGGGCCCACAATTCAGCCTCTTGAGTGATGAGAGACTGTCACTTGCATTGTTTATCTCCGATACAGGACAGGGAAGGGGAAATGACAGAGGGACAGCGCTGCTCCTTTCTTTGTTTGAGGTGTAGAGCTCAAGGGGAAAGAGGAGACTGTCAAGATGCCAAAGAAACTCCTGAAACTGGAGATCAGCCACAAGTCTAAAATGTATGATATAGCTTATTGCTTATGAACTCTTCTTTGCTGATAAATGGTCATGTTTCATAGCAAGGTTTGATCGTGATCATCTCAAGTTTCTCGACTTACCAGGAAAAATTGGGTGATCATGGTAATTAATTCTTCTGGCTATGGCTAAGGTCAAGTGAAACTGGATCTCACATGCACCCCTGAACCCTGGGTCAAAGGTCATCTGTTCTGAGAGTCCTTTGAAACATGCATCCTGTCCTAATGCTGCCACTTGCGTAATGTGCCCCTCAAGTGACCAATAATTAAATGGTGAGCTCTCCTAGAATCCTTTTGAACTTTCAGCATGCCTGGGAGGACTCTACCAAAAGCCAAAAGCCAATTTATAAAGAAGCTGAGTGTATAATCAAATGAAACACATGTACATATCTTGTATAAATTGGTCTTTTATTATTATTGGGAAATGTGAACCTGCTTAACATTCATTCTTTAGAGATGAAAAAAAAAAAAGAAACTGTAGACATTTTCTTGGTACAATAATTATTTTATTAAATTTAAAATATCTTTAGCACAGGTTAAAAATTAGACACTTGGGACTGAACATGGATCAAAATAAACACTTTTAAAAATTAAAGAGACTTTCTCTTCAATTTGTTTCTAGATATCTCTTTTGTCAGCTTAGAGTTGATAAGGAAGAGGCAATTTTGGCATTATTCTTGATGAAACTGATGAAAATATTTATTTAAAAGAATTACAAATATTGAGCCTGATTTGGTTCATTTGGAATGAATCAAATTTCACGTTAGAGCAGTCTCATTGTTTTTCTACTCTAATGACATTACTTTTTACTCAGACAAGACAACTTGGAGTATCTATTGATTAACTTTGTATCATATTGTTTTCTGGGCTGTGTTAGACACAAGTTACGCAATTATGTATCTAGATTATGCATGTGTGCATGCAGCGGCAAAGGAAACTTTATAAAAATGTAATTTCTTTCAAATCTATGAAAAACAGACCTTCCCTCAAACCTTAATAATGAAATGACAAATAAAGCAAAAACATGAGCAAGGCCGATGCATTACATCTGTCAGAAAACATTAACAGGAAAGACATGTCTGCTCTAAAGTAGTTCAGAAGAGTCTGCTGCAGCAGCTATATGGAATGAAGTTCTACTCTCTAAACGGCATCACTGCCAAGTGCCAAATACAAAATAATTTTTGAAACAAAGGAATTAACTTGTTCATTTCCAATAGCTACAAAGTGTTGTTGGTTAAGGTGGAGGTAATGGAGCTCCACCCTCCCAATTGGCTGCAGTCAGACCCTTCTCAATTAGTTTACAACCCATAGCAGAGATCACAAATTTCAAATGATGTTTCATTGTGTAACGTACATGCCATAACTGAAGCCTGTATTACAAAAGTACCTGAACAAATTGCCAGTATAGTAGCATGCATAGCTGTTTAATATTTACATGTATTTACAGAGTCAAACTAAGAATAACAAGTGTGTTTAATGTTTCATTTACATCTAAAATGGAGACCAGAAAGCAGCCTTATAGTGACAAGATGAGTAATCCTGACATGCACATAGAGTAGTCTGTTGGTTAAAACCCTACCATTTAAATAGAAACAGCTCAATTAGTATATCCCAAACTATTGCTACCGAATTGCATAACACAATGTGTTTTTCACTGTCTGAGCATGGGGCTCAAAAAGGTTAATTTACAATGTTAACCGTGCCGTGAAGGGAAAAGCAAATAGGAAAGAGCATGCACAGCACCAGGAGGACATTAAGCTGCAGTCGCATCTCTCTCTCCTCTCTCTCGCTTGCTCAGTCCAGTGACAACAGTGGGCTCCCTGATGTGTACAGAGACACAGGGCTATCATCATCCATCATGGAGACACTGAAAGCATCTTTCAGCAGTGATCAGACTGTAAGCAGACGCACAACACTGACACCTTCTCCCTTTTGCCTTGTCTGGTTGAGGACTGCAGAGAATGGCCTTTTACAGTGACAAAACATATGCACAAATATCAAATACAAAAGAAATACATCTGAAAACAGGTCTACAGATAACCTTATTGCAAAGTAGCACATTACATCATATGCATATGCACGTCTTGTAAGCTTACACCATGGAAGTGTTCTTGGAAGACATATTGAATATATTGTGAGTGGAGTTTGTCAGGTGATAGTGGCTCATAGGATGCTGCACACAGTAAGGATATTGCTCAGTTACAGTTAGTGAGAATAACATTGCACACAGTGCCCCTGTAGTACTGCTGTTCTGTCCACCTCCATCTCATTTACACTGGACTGCTAATATAAGCAATCAGCCTCACTGGGGGTCCATAAACACTTGATTTCAGAAGTGCCTTTGATAAAGCAGAGCACCAGCCCAAGAGCATGTTAATATGCTTCTCCATAAAGCTTATCTGCAACTCAGGTCATCAGGGCCAAATGGCAAGGGGCTGATTGCCATAGCAGTATGACCTCAGAAGCAGTTACCCCTCTTATGGCCCCTCTGACAATAGGAGCCAACCGTAGGCCTACTATTGAATAATCAAAGACCCTCTCTACACATAATAATGCAGAGGTTTACTGGAGTCGAGCAGGCCAAATTAACCCGTGGTTACATAAAAGTACCCCATTTAGAAAGAAATGAGAACAATTTATTGTCCAACATCCAGGGTAAGAGTGGACCTGTTGAATTGAAAAGTGGATGAAATCAGTAAATCAAATACATAAATGTGATTTTGTTTTAATCTACAACAGGAATTTTAAGACAGAGCAGGACTTTGCCTCCTGTTGTTGATAGGTACATGTGATCATACTGTATAATTTGGTGGACTAAAGATTGGGCCTTTGAAGAAGACTTTGATAGCATATGGTTATCCCCTGCTGCCTCACACTCTCTGCTCTGTAGGGGGCCAGAGGGATTCATGCACAACTTTGTGGGCTGCACAAACTTTTCACTTCTCTGAAACTGAGAGATTACACCCCGATCACAGCAGGTGGAACAGCAGGCCTCCAGGCATCTCCCCTTGAGCTCCTCTAATCTCCATTTTACACCCTAAAGACAAACTGCTATCCTACACATACACACACACACTTGGAAGGCACTATCAACATAAATCAACTGCCATACCTCCCAAACTGCCTTGGCCATCTGACCATGATTTTGTGTACATTGTTTTCAGTCTTGTTGATGTTATTCCTTATCAGTTGTTTCAAACCAATCAGAGTTTTTCTTTCTTCTGGCTCTGGCACTGCAGACTAAATCAAGCTGTCACAAACCAGACTGCACAGCTAAATGGTGCAGCCTGAAATGCCACCTGTCCACAGCTTGTGGCGATTTATTATTCCCCATTTATTTATTTTTATATGGAGCACCAACTATGTGGTGGAAATGCAACAGCATCCATGTGGTGCCTCTTACATTCTTGCACAGGCATTTGAGTTGTTTTTTCCCCAGATAATCAGACCTAAATGGTCCATTAGCTCATCAAATGCAAAAGATTTGGTTTACAGCAGTTATCAGAGGTATTACACAGTGATCAGCCTGGTGCATTTATTCCAATTGAGACATTTTGGCTAATCCTACTCATTTGGTCTACCTCCAAATCTTCTTGGAGGCCATCTCATTTCACAAAAGGGGCTTGATAGTTAACTGCTCACCCAGAGGCTTATGTGACGACCAATGAGGGAAAGACTAAGATCTTTACCCATAATGCATCCCTGATTAGCTTTGTGACATAAGGAGGTTTTTGTTACAGGCACGGAACAACTTAACTTATTTTGTTTGTTTGTTTTTTTCTTCAAATTATAAATTGTATATAATATTTTGTATTAATGGCAAAATATAAATGTTTTGTAAATGTAACAATTAAAGCCATCTTTCCAGACAGTGCGGGTAAACCAGGATCAGAACTGTTGACTTGGGGATGCCTTATTGTAATCCTTCGACCCACCCACCAGCCTGACCCTGACTTGGTTTGTGGCATGCTAACAAACTGCTCCTTCATCAGTCAAACCATTTGACTTAGACAAAAGTTCCTTGCCATTCCCATCTTAGATCCTTCTTTGTTTAATCCAAAAACATGATTGTACTTATCCTATTATTAGCTTGCCACTGAGAAGCAGAGATCATTTGTTAAAAGAAATTATTACTCCAAAGAACAGAAGGGAATTTGAGAGCGTGCTGCTTGTGGCAAAATTACTGTATAAAGATAAGATCTGAGAGGTGTGGAGAAAAGGAGGCGGAGGAAGGGAGATTACGTGTGGCCCCACTAAAGGTTGTTCAGACAAAAATCTGAATTAGTAGTGCACTATATCCTCTCCATCCCTACCCCCTCCGCTTGTGCCCATATCCATCATGTTAATATACCTACAGCGTGGCCCTCTGGGTAATATATCTTTGACCTGTGATTACTCTAACAGCTTATTGTTTGCACACTGAACAATCCCATTATGTCGGGGATCTGTTTACATACAGCCATGCCGTTTAGATTAGCACAGTGTGTGTAGGTGAGTGGGCTGAGAGAGCTGCTGTTGCCTCTGCTGTGTTTGAGCAGTATGTTCACATCTAGGCAGCTGCTAAATCTGCTCGGGGTCATGAGAGAGAGAAGCCTACACAAAGCCTGTTTAAAAGGGCAGAACACTGGAAATGGCTGAAAAACAAAGTGCCGCCTTCCACTATAATGTTCAAAAGAGGTGAGAATCAGAAAACTGCTGTGGCATTTTGAGATTTGTCTTGTAGCTTTATTTAATTGTTTTGTTATTTTCCCTCCATTTTAGTAATAATTTAGCAGAGCGTAATATTACAAAATATGCAACAAAAAAAGGTATTTTTATTTTTGTTTTGTTTTTATCATTATGATTTGGGAAAAGGCTCTAAATTTTTATCAGCTCCTAACAATAGGGACAGAGATTTGTGCAGCCCTATAGATGGCTTTAATCTTAATGTTTGCTGCAGTGCTACATGTCTTGAGTAGATGACTGTTAGAGACTGACTGGGACACAAGGGCAGCACAGACTGCACATCTGCTGAGCTGTGGTCTGCTCATTAACACAGAGTTAACCCCAGCAGGACGTCAGCTTACCCAGCCCACAGAGCCTCTGTGTGTCTGAGGTCAAAGGTCACTCACCCTCTTAGAGGAAGTGCCTCCGTGAGAGACAGAGATCAGACAGACACACTCCTGTGACCTTTTCAACTTTGAGCAAGATCCAAGTTTCTTGTCTTTCCTTTCTCCAAAGACCTCTGCAGGATCCATGTGACCTGGACTTTCCTGGCAGACTCACTGCATATCTGTGTTTTTGACATGGGGTGAAAGGACGAGTGTTGACAGCAATCCACAGGACACTTATTTCTCTTAACTGAATTGTCCTTATATGACTACATCACGTATGTTCCAAACATCAATCACTCTTCAATTTCCTATTAGAATCTATGTTTACAGGCTTTTCAGTATTCGATGGACAATCTTCTCCATGTTCTCAAAAAATGTAAGTAAAAGAACAAAAGGAGAATTATATATGTACCTAATGAACCTAATCAGACTATTGTTTATGTGAGGTTTGGATTAAGTGTCATATTTATCTGAAAACAAACTATGTGAGTTGCCTGCGGGCTTGATCCCTCTGAAAGACAACATGCAAAGTACAGCATCTTGAACTTTACATAGTGTACATATATACAGCAGTGGAAGTACTTTTGTAAAAGGGTATAATAAGAGAGTGTGTGTGTATGTGTGTATGTGTGTGTGATTGTGTTCCCTGTTGCTGTGTCTGTGTGTGTCCATCAGGTCCACTGGGGTCTGCAGTGAGCTGAGGGATAGCGCAGGGCCATGGCCATGTCATTGAGCCCTGATGCCCAGCACACACTGAGAGGTAGAGGATGCACTGCTGAAGGTGAGCCACCCGCCTTCTCCATTACAAGCTTTCTAGTCATTGCCAGTGTCATCTGTTTGTTCCTTGGCGCACATTGTTACCACTGACTCCATTTTGTAGTCTTCATAGTTCACTGAAGTGTGCCCTCAAAATCCAAGTGACATTTCAAACCATGCAAGGGTTAACTTGGATCTTGCATTGTCACCCTCACAGTATTGCAAAGTGTAAAAAACAGGAACCAGTTTTAAAATAATTGAAATATAAATACGTCCATGGGTCAATGTGTGACTTTGCTCTCTGATGAGATGAGGTTTCCAGCACTATCTGAAGTTAATGAATTTACTTTCATTGAAATAAAATGTGTTTACATATTAGTATTTCGGTAGCTCTAAGAAAACAAGTATTTCTAAAAGTATTTAAATGTATGCTAAAAGGTTTTTAGGTGAGTATTGGGCTACTGTCCATGCTGCTTTATTTACTTGTTCCTATTTACATGAAGCAGAGGGACAACTGGGGTGGAAGACAACTCAAGATAGAATGGGTTGAATAATTTCCTTGTCCACATATCTTCAGAAGACATGATTACTAGTCAGCCTTTGGCTAAGACTTTCTCACGCCATCCAAACTTTGTTCCAGTTTCTCATTAAGATAAATGTTTCTGTATCAGGAGAATAGAAGTATTTACAGAAGCATGCATCGTTGTCTCCCCTTTGAGGAGATAGTAGTCATTCCAACATTGGTTCTCTGTATTCTCTACAAAAAATCTGGAGCCAATGGTCAGGAAGAGTGACTGGGTCCTACAAGGTTTCTCTGTTTAGTCGAAAGATTTCTGAGCATCAGAGTTGAATGTTGTGCTTTGTAGGTGGGTTGGTGCGATTGGTCAGCCGCTGTGATGTCATCGCTGCTTCAGTGCTCTGCCATCTGTGAACACAGAGAGGGGTTTGGGAAGAGAAAAGAAAACTTGAGCATGAGTCACACCTTTATTACTGCAAGAGTGTAGCAACCACAGGCATAACAACCTCTGCCTTATTAGAGGGTGATGGCAAAGTGACTCATGGTGTCTGTATTTGGATGTGCTGTCTCTACAGCCTGTATGAAAACTGAGGTGACATGAGCACCATGTGAGTGTACATGGCATTCCTCTGGCTTAAATCTACAGTGACACTGGGAGCAGTATGTGGTGACTCCTTCATCAGCTTCTATTAGGGCCAAGGAGAGACGGGTACATTTAAACACGCTGTGGCTTTGCATGTAATAACGATCATTCACTCACTGATGGCCCTGAAACATTGAGTAGGAGATCTTTGCCTGTGTTGTGTATCAACATATATGCAGTAATAGTATAGGTAGTTGAAGTAATAGTTGTAGATTATATATGTATGATGATTATTATGTGGTAGTATGCAGTTTGGACATTTAATTTGCTTTGGTGACACTAAGGCGCACATTATATAAGCATTTCCCTGACTTCTGGCCTCTTTCCGTGATAGATATGCTCTGTTCCACACTATGGTGCATCTGTCTTGGTAGCTTTCTGCCCATTGTACACCTTGCTAATGTCTTTGTGGTTGTGTCTGCTCTGTTGTCAGGTACTATATGTACCTTACTTTTTGTATTTTCAGATTACTATTTGCTGCTAATGTAAAACCTTGTTTGTGTCAGTGGAGAGCTGTGATCGGTTGGCCCACTCCTTGCTATGCGTTTCATTCATTCACACACTCAGACTTTAAATGCAGGTTCATATTAAGAGGTATTTTTAGTAGTTGTAATAGTTGTAGTAGTAATATTATCCATTGTGTTAATTTTAGAAGTAGTAGATTACAAATTACAACTGTGAAAACAGAGATTGGTTACAAACGTTATTATGTATTGTCCAGCTTTCATCGGCAGCAACCCATGTCCTACAAGATATACAACTGAGATCACACACACTGCCCCGAGGCGCTCTCCCTGTGCTCCACACTAGCCCTCCTGACTCAAGTCCATGTGATAAGGTCTGTGATGGGAATGCGGGGGCCATTTGGACCTCCAAAGCCAGGTGTTAGCACTTCAGTTCGCTGCCTCATCAATAATTGACAGAGGCAAACCAATCAGAACAATTTGCTCACCACAGCGAAGTGCTGGAGCAGCCTAACACCAGTGAATCATTAATGAGGCAATTAGCTGAAATGGTTAGACGGTTAGGCAGTGCTCCTGTGACGTTCTTCCAGTGGTGTTCTGATCCCACATCTGCGCATGATGGACTGATAGAGCCCTAAGACCCTATCAAGTGGACACCTTCTGAGGAATTAAATAACACAAGATAGAGGAATGAACTTTGTTATAGCTGGAGTCAGTTGGTTGACACAAGCTCCTCTTCTTTTGACCACAGTGAATAACCCAGCTGGCTATTACTAAAGGAGACTGGTCTTTATCGGTTGTTGTTTCCATTGCAGAACCCACCTCATGCTCCCACTCTCCCCTGAGCAAGTGTGGGAGAACCTTTCTGGACAGAAATAAACTCGACTTCAGTGGCATCACTCAAACATGGGTGAAGCAGCAACAACAATAACAGCAGATATAGGCTTTGCCTTTGAAGAGCGCAGATCCTGGATTGTTGTATGAAAGGAAAATCAAAGGCCCAGGGGAGCTGCTCACAAAGCCTCATCGATCCACCATATTGGAACCATTTCATAGTTTATCGATGCGCCTCTGCCAGCTCTCACCCTGAGCCCAGCACATGGGCTCAATTAAACCAGCAACCTTGAACCAACAGCAGAGTGGTTGGTAAGAGTGGTAGATGATTGTAATACTTAATTCCTGTACAATTAACAAAATAAAATACAAAATCATTTAGAATATTAAATAAAGTTCATCCCTTTATGACCAACAGAATTGGCTGAAAGAATCAATATTCAGCATTATACTAATATATACATTCATATCCATGTCTTTTGATACTTCAGTGTGCATAAATATTGTTCAAATGATGCACTTTCTATTGCTATTCAAAGTGCATTGTTTCGTTTTTTTCTTTCTAATTATAAGGTTGGGGATGGTGATGATTACTATTCATTCTATTTCTTTTTAGAGTTAATTGAGCCACTGCCAATGCTGTTAAGGACAATGAAAAAGGCATATCTTGATTCTGCATCTGTGAGATATTAGGAAATACAGCCGTGAGGCTGATGATAACCTTCTCTATTGACTTGGATCACATATTAGTGTCGTAATAGGAACTGTAAAAGTAATTGATTAGTTATTTTACCTGGGTTAAGTTGTGTATGTTTAAACTGACACTTTAAATGAGGCAGATATGAGGCTGTTTTAATGATTCTTATTCATTCTTATAGCTCTCTTGGGAGGCCACCTTCAATAAGTATTTACAAACAGGAAATTTGCAGGACATCTTGAGAGAGTCATTACCAATGAGCCTTATGTGCTCTGAGATTAACATGTAATTAAAATAGTAAATCAATATTTATTAAGCTATTTCTCAAATTCAAAAGGGACGTGCTATTCTGGGCTCTGAGATGCGTTTAGAGTTGACTTCAGAATCCCACTGCTTTTAGAAGCCACTCTTTTAAATGGCTGTACCTTACTGTCCAAAGACATGCATGAGTCTTTTCTACACATTTATACGTTCAGTAGGCCGAGAAGAAAATACGTAGCACAGTATAAACCTCTCTGTTGTCCGTTCTTTGAAATGAAAAGGCTTGATGTACTGCTGGGTTCATTGTTTAAAATTACTTGACATATAAATGGCCCAGGAAAACATTGGTTGGCCTCAATTATGCATTGAAAATAAAGTTATGAGCTGGAGGGTGAATTATTGATGTTGGCACCATGGAACAAGAGCATGGTTGGCAATGTGTCACACTTACTTATATATTCATATTTTTTCCTGATGCGTCATCTTGTATTGATAAATTTTCATCTAAAACTCTATGACGCCCTGGTCGGTGAACGATGGAAACACACACAGTGAAATATTGGAAACATAATGCAGTATTACTGGAAGAGAGGAAACAGATAACATATTGAGTAACATAATGTATTCTCATAAATAGTAAATATTAAATAACTCACTGCATACTTTATAAATGTGTTGCACCAAGGGTCACTTATGTGATGAAATCTGATCCTTACCTGCACCAGTGCAAAAGAAAAGAATAAAAAGCACATGCAGAACAGCTTTATATATATTATATTATTGAAAGAAGCCGTGGCTAACCCAATTTACAGTATATTTGAGAAATATTATTAACTTTAAGCTATGTATAGGTGAAATATCAGTTTGAAAAAACTTGCTTCACAAAGGAAATATGACATAACGTATCCCGGACAAAAGCATTAGAACCATGATTTAACCGCAAAGGTCAAGTTTGTGAAGGGGACTTGCACTACTGTAACATCTGACCTTCCCCATCAGAAGTTATATTACTCCTATAATGGAAGCATGGCTGGACGTGAATGGACAGTGTGACCATAATGTGTTGAGTGTTCCCATCAGTGTTGTGCAAGTACGCACTTTTCATGAACTAGTTCAAAGTTCAGTTCATTTTATTTTTAGGTGAGATATGTAAATGGAAGGCTGAACTTATTTTTCAAACTGACTTCCAGTTTACAACAACTTTACAACATATAAACCATAGAGCCACATCAGCCAGTTTGAGATTATAATGTGTATAATGGATAGCTTTGACACATTTGTCTTACAGAAGCGAAAAATTAAAAACCACATGGCTAATTTGCATAAACTGCACTGATGCATCAGCTTCTGTCGGACTAAAGGACACAACTATATGTGTTCTTTCTGTGACAGAGGGATGTCACTGCAACTTTTGGACACGTAACTAGAATGCACTGAAAGTGAATGAGGGCGGCTCCACTGCATGTGCTCGGCGTGTGTATGGAACAGCGCATCAAGCGCGCGTAGATTTCAGAAAATAGGATCCATCCTGTTTTTTGACGCTCTACGCGAGTGTAGGGAAAGCATCCATTGTTGTGTTTGTGCATTTACCATCAGCACATCGTGCTCCCGGGGCAGTTCTGTATTGTGTGAAACAGCCCAGGTTCAAAACAACTGTTAATTAGTGCTTTGAAATTAACTGTTGAAATTTTCGTGTTTGCCGTGGTCAGTCTGTATAGAAGGTAAATACAAGTCTGTTCAGCTGTTAGTTTCACTGTGGAGCTGATACATGCGGCTAAACGCACCCAGTCAAGTCTGATTGGCTTTCCCATTGACAAACACAGAGCCAGAGCCGCCCGTGTACGTCCTGCTGCAGCTGCCTGTGGAGCCACCTTCCGCATTGACGCGCGGCTGTGGTTTTGTGATGTTACGCGTGACAATGCTGCCGCAACAATGCTGACGAGTGACGCTGACTTGTCACCCGACTCATCAGGTGAAAACAAATTCCGACGTTTAATTGGACCCCAACACTGACGTATGTTGTTCATCTCACATAATTTGAACAAATTCACGTTCAAGTTCTTGATTTACAAATGTGTTGCGTTCAGTTCAAAGTTCACTGAAAAATGTACGTGTTCAGTGAACACGTTCTTTTGAACTCGTTCATGCACAACACTGGTTCCCATAGTGATGTTCTGATACCCTGTTTGATCTAATACAGTTGTCAGTAATGTAGGAGCCCCCCAGGGTACAGTCCTGTCTTCATTTCTGTTCACTCTGTACACCTCTGATTTCCAGTACAGCTCTGAGTGATTGCAAACTTTGTGGAGTGGTCCCAGGCAAACCATTGTGCCTGAATGTTGACAAGACCAAGGAACTGGTGATTGACTTCAGGAAAAATCGGACACTGGTGGAGCCTGTCACCATCCAGGGCCATAACGTACAAATAGTGGAATGCTACAAGTATCTTGGCGTCTAGGTAACAGACTGTACTGGAGGGACAACTGTAATGCTATGTACAAGAAGGGCA